ATCGATTCGGCGAGGGTCGTGACATTGTAGTTTTTCTGCCGAGAATTTCTCAATAATTGTATGTAATCCGAGAATGGAAATGTGTCCGATAAGTGGGCCACCAGGGGGCGTGCCAGTCACCATTTGCTGGGTAACTTATGAGCTCATAACGTCAGCAGGGAAGTAAGGTTCCATCATAAAGTTTTATTTGCAGATCGGTTTCGGCTTTCGGCGCTCAAATGTAGGCCCCACTCTACTACGCTCTTATTTATTATTTTATTTTTCTGGCTCTAATTCTATTTGCTTGTTGGACTTATTTTGAGAATAATAAAGCTAGTTGAACTAAAATACAAACCACTGATAATGTTTCTAGTTTCAATCCAACTTATTATGAAGTAGGTAAATCTGAAATACTTTTTTATCCCAAAGCATTTAACAGAGCACTTAATTTGAATTGTTTACCTTCCAATCAACGGCTGTCTAACGGAACGAGTTTAAAGCAAACTCGACTATCGGATAGAAGCGAAACTATTGAAAGAATTACAAGTGTTGAAAAAGAAACAATTTATTCGCAATAACATAACAGTAACGTAAGTGTTACGATGGCGGCTATAACTCTTAGTAATCTCACGGTACTTCAGCCAGTAGCAATAATATCGGTAATTGAGGATCGTGACTAATCTTCGAGACTTCGTAAGCTCCTGACGAAAATCTCTTCAAATGAAGACACGATCGTCCGAAAACGAAACAGAAATGTTTATTTTAAAACGCGTATATATTTCAATTTGGCTATAAATTATCCCGTTTGAAGAGTAACCATTGACTGAAGTCGTAAAGAAAGATGTGGTCCCACCATTACAAACTGAATACCTCGGTTGCATACTTGCGTTAATTTAATTTATTGCTCGTAAAATTTGTAATTAGTTAGGTGTGCAACCTATGTTTACTGTTTATGTGCTTGTTATTGGCCGGGGTAACCGTTATTTCGCTGTAAAAACTACCTCGTAATTACCTACATAGTTTTGTTTTAATTATTTTTGCTAAGAAATGTGTACGACTCATTGCTGCATGCTGTCTTACCTTGTCTAATTTGTTGTGGAGTTGGACTTAGGTCTTGATCTAAGCCTCGTTATCATCATCTTCATCATTGTTGTGATGATCATGTTCGCTGGGTAAGGCTTTTCCTTTTGAGCCTTCTTGATTTTGCACATCCCTAATCCATCTGTAATTTTAGAAAATATCAAAGGTTATATCTAAACTAATAAATAAATATATATACCATAATAATATATCTAGTTATTAGCTAGTTGCATTCAAAATACAAATACAATTCAAACGGTATTATTTACCTTATGGCTCACAAATTCAATTAAATATTTATTTATGTCTGACTACGGACGTATGTGCACTAATGTTGTTTATATATAATAATATGATTGTGTTGCAATATCGTACCGTAAATTTGTTCATACAAAAGTAGTCTCTAAACATCGGAAATGTTGCGGAGAACCTAACGGGTTACCGGGGCTCCGGCTTGACGTGCAGGAGAAGGAACGGGGCGGTTTTTAGTCCGTAAGAGTCTGACACTCCCTCCCGCCTCACCCAGGTGGTTTGATCTTCGCCTCACCAGGACATTCGATGATTTACCCCCTTAAAAAAAATATCGGAAGGAAATAAGGTCTATAATGTAGTTAGTTGGGGATTGAACAGAGTCTGTTTCATTAGGATATGGAAGTAGTTTGGTGAGGTAGAAAATGTATTATTCTATAAAAATAGTTTCCAAACTAGGATACCTACCTTGATTTGCAAGCTGTCTGTACATGACTTAGTATACTTATGTTTAATCATTTGTATTTAAATATATTCTCACTTATAGATAAGTAGTTCCCATCAGTTCCAGACATTATTACCACTTATTTATATTCCATTGGGAATCGTTTTCATAAGTGCTTATGTCTTTCTGATTCAATCGTGTGGTATAGTAGCAACCACGATTTTTAAGGTAGTTGATTTTTTGACAATCTCGTTGAATACCTAGTAACTATTTTGAAAGTAGAGTCTTGCTCTTGGGCTGGGAAGTAGGTACGCATAGGTAGGACAAAAGGACTTTTTATTTGAGAGGGGAAAATCATCAAATGTCTTCTCCCGCCCGCGTGAGACGAGAGTGAGTGTCAGACTCTTACTGACTAAAAACCACCCCGTTCCTTCTCCTGCACTACGAGCCGGAGCCCCGGCAACCCGTTGAGTTCTCCGCAGCTCCGTATCGATATCAGCGCTCTTGGGCCGATCTGTGGTGGTCTGATGGCTCTTTGAGGCACGCCCAAAACGCAACGCGCCGTACGCTAGGGTCTAGGATATGGTCGGACGGCAACCGTGCTCGCCGACCGCAGGCCCGTGCTTACGGTGACCAAAGGGCCTACCGTGTCTTTGCTCACCAATGGCACTAGCGTGAACCTCTCATTCTTCGTCCAATAGTGATTTAGATAGTGTCACACCATTAAACTGTCAAACACCAAGCGGTCACCGGTGACCGCAACCTATTGTTCTTTAATTGTGTCTACAAAACCGGTACTCGACGAGTTAAACGTTAAATTTTTGATAGCTGTTATGATTGGACCAAAACACCTCATTCTAAACTTGCGCCATCTAGTGATCAAAAACCGTTACTTCACACTAGTTGACTAAATTCGCATTATTAATTAAGTAATGCATAACACCACACCCTACTATGTGACCTTACTCTTTATATGGAATGAGTCCTACTCATAACATAACTGTTAAAAGGGGATGGGATGTTACAGCATTAAAAGTCATGATTTAAATTGATCTTATTTTAAGGAGTAAAAAAGCGACAGAAATATACACTAAATCTCGTTCTTTCTGTTCCGTACATTTTCCCAATTTCATGCATGACGTTAACCGTTATTGGTCGGAGGAAATAACCAGAGCCAATCAAATCGTTTCGCGCCACTTTTCGGGAACAGATTAAACAGGGTTTTGTCAAATGGGGATGGATGAGTGAGTTTTATTTATCTGTATTTAAATATAAGGTTTGAATGTTTGCATTATCTTTAAATGATAGGAAAATGTGTACCTATTTATAGGATATAAACTTATTGTTAGTTATTGTTGGACCTATTGTTGTATCAGGTGATATTATTTACGTAATACAACAATAAGGATGATGAATTTTACCACTAATAAATCTATTATTAAGAGCATCTAAAAATAATAATAATCTCATAACGGATTTTGAACTTACATTTGTGGTTTTTCAAGCTTTTTTTGAAGCAAAATGAGGAAATACAAAATACGCAAACTAAAATGGTAAAATATTGCCATGTTTCTGCTCTGATCTAATCTGATTCTGGTTGCTTTCTTTACAACTAAATACCAGACACTAGTACCTACATGATTTCATACGTTTACATAAATCTTGATTCACACAAATCTACAATCACACCACAGATAAACATTTTATAGTAATTAGAATTTATTAAAAGTAATTTGTCCGACATCATACCAACTTCCACAGATAACAATTAAAAACTCTTTTTATATAAAATGCTATATTTATCTCTCCGATAAGCCTAATCTAGGGAAAGTTCACGTGTTACATTATTTCCGAGTATATTTAAGTCATTGTTTTAATAATTGCTATGATGTTAATTGTTGTGAAATTGATGTGTCATTTTGTTAATTTAATTTGATTAAAGTCTAGTCATTCTAGCTTGTCGCGGAGAACCTAACGGGTAACTGGGGCTCCGGCTCGACGTGCAGGAGAAGGAACGGGGTAGTTTTTAGCCAATAAGAGTCTGACACTCCCTCCCGCCTCACCCAGGCGGGAGCAGTCATTCGATGATAATCCACCCTTAAAAAAAAAGTCATTCTAGCTATACATTATTCCCCACAAATGTTGCGAGTACCAAATAAAGGGACTATGTATTTGACATAAATCGATCATCAGCGTTGTCTGACGAACAGGATGCCCAATTACTATCATTATATTAGTTTGTTTTTAAGTTGTAAATATTTAACGTCGTATTATGTCCTAGTGATCCGCCCCGGCTTTGCACGGGTGTGCAATATGCATGTATTATACATATAAAACTTCTTTTTGAATTACTCTATCTATTAAAAAAACCGCATCAAAATCCGTTGCGTTGTTTTAAAGATCTAAGCATACATAGGGACAGACAGGCGGCGGATAGCGACTTTGTTTTATGCTATATGTATGTCGCGGAGAACCTAACGGGTAACCGGGGCTCCGAATCGACGTGCAGGAGAAGGAACGGGGTGGTTTTTAGTCAGTAAGAGTCTGACACTCCCTCTTGCCTGACCCAGGCGGGAGCAGTCATTCGATGATTTTCCCCCCTTAAAAAAATGCTATATGTATAGTGATTTTAATAAATAAACTAGATGTTTAAATTGATACTTTTTGAAAAAGAAGCAAAACTCACTTGGACAGAGTAGTTATTGTCATTAGTCCCATTGTTAAAAGGATTCAAGTTCAACCCTATGCTTTCAATGTGGTTGTTTCCATAGGTACAAGCTCCTCTAAATAGTTTGTTTTCGGCATGTTACGAAACCTTCAAAAGGATTTGAGCAAGAATGTTTCTTAACGCTTCAGCATTCAGTTGAAAATCAACTGTAAGATTCAATCTTGTACTTTAAATAAGCTAGGTATTTGGAATTCTTTGAACTTTGTAAGCTAGTTAGGACCTATCCCGTCCTTCTACAAGAACTGCATACAACCCACACGAATGAAGTCGTGGGTGTGTCACTAGTATTTATAAAGATACAAACATCGTATCCTCACAAGTTCAAGGTCAAAGAAAATGTTACTCTATTTCAACAGCAGTTAGTACCTTTTCTGCTTGTTTCATTTACGTATACTTACATTGAAAAGTTTTGCACAAGTTCATTTAATAAAAAGAAAACATCGTATCCACACAAGTTCAAGGTCAAAGCAAATGCAACTGTATGTTAACAATACTTAGTACTTTTTCTGTTTGTTTCAGGAGGTTCCGATAGCAATAAGGGCAAAAGTAAGAAGTGGCGGAAGATCCTCCAGTTTCCTCACATATCACAATGTTTAGATATAAAAACAAAAATAGGTAAGTCCATTTTTATATTGATTTGATTTAGATTTTAAGGAATTTCTGTTTGATATCTCAACGTCTATCGTAGCTGTTGTTTTACTTGATTGATTTGTTTAGTATCCTAAAGGTCTGGTGTTCGTAATCTTAAATAATAATTTTATGGAGCACGTGGTTTAGATAATACAAAGAATTGCGGAATTGTCGTTATTGAAATCCATAAAATATACTTAGTTACACAATGTGTGGGATTCTGCATTACAGTGTTCTTAGATCGTACCCTATAATGACACTTAAATAACATTATTCACTTAAAAAAATTCCACTACTTTCTTACTTTCAAAATTCTGCGCATTCGTTACTGAAAATATAATTCATGATTTTACATTAAATGGATCTGGTGTAAGGTCTACAAACGCAGTGCTTATTTACCCATACCAAACTAAAAACTTATCTCCATTTATTTATCCTGTATGAATCTAAATCCGAAGGCAAATCCTGTCTTCAATGAAGTATTGTGGTGGATGCGGTGGTTCCTTTTCAGTAGGAGCGCCAGTGGTTGCGTGGGACGGATAAACGGCTTATACAATTCTAAGTCTATCCAGTATTCCCAGCTGTCTAACTTAACTATGTTTACTGGAGCGGCATTGTATTGTCATGGAAATCAGAGCCGGATTAAACCTAGAGAGCGCCGTAGGAAAGCATCTCATAGATGCCTCTCATTTTTTTGGTGTCGGTCATCGCTATGGGTATGCGCGTCTCACGGCGCTCCTCTTATAACCTGGCGCCCTAGACACTTTTTTAAAGTGGGACAAGCCCGACACAACCTCCCAAAACCGCTGCAACTCCTGTAAGCCAGGATCTACAGTAGATACAACCATGAAAACACCGGAACATTGAAGTCCGGCGCGTCCCAGGGACATGAGTAACTGTCTTGGCTCCCGCAACGAAGTGAATCAGAAGATATTATAAGAGGAGAAGAAGAAAAAAAAACTTCCCTAGACACTTGTCTAGTTTGCCTTAGGGATAATACGGCTCTGATGGAGATAATGCTGATTGTCTCATGAACAATGTTACTGTTAGGCGACTGTGCCCGATTGTTGCGTTGCAGCGGGATATGTGTATTTTAATTTCCTAGTGAAAGAAGAATAATACTTTCTTACGTCAGTGTTACTTATTTCTATTTAATTTAAACAGGGATTTTTACTTTTGGGACTTTCCGTGATCAGCGGTTTTATCTTCGTCCGTTTTCTCACATTTTTAAGCTGGTGGGACGTCATTAGTATCTATCCTTCCTTAAGAGACTTACGCATTCATTTTTAATCCGGTATCTATGTCTTTGTATCAAAAGTTGCTAGTCTAGTAGAAACACCAGACTTGTTATGTCGACCTGTTTTCTAGGTACTATTGTATATCCTGATCCTATTTACTATGTTTTCCTTTTGTCTGCAAAGTCAACAAGAACATAAATATCTGTTATGGTAGTCAGCAAACACTTCAGTTTTATAGAGCTTACTGTCATTTACAGCTTCCCCAGCTCTGAAATGTGATAAGAGAATTATTCTTATTCTTAAGAATTGTTTGATTCCATTCTCAAGATTGATTGGTTTCCGATAAGTATCGGATTGTTCTTCTCTGTTCACATCGAATATTATTTGTCAGCTATGGATGGATGAGTTTATTAGCCGAGAACAAAAATGATTTTTTATTTTTTTGTTTTATTTCGTTGAGGTGGCAACAAGCTTAAGGTTCGCCTGATGAAAGGTCTTCTGTAAATAATATTTATTCTCCGAAATGTGGGTTAATCGCAGAACTTATTTGGAGTAAGATTGTGGACTTTTAAGAAGCTGTTTTGAAATTAGCTTTTTTAATTTTAAATGTTGGCTTGGCTTATTGCACTATACTTAGTACTATCTACTTTTCCCTGTAACTTGGAAATCTTAAAACTCGGTCCCAAACAAGATTTTCTTGCTTTTCTATCTTATGATCAAGAAAAACGTTCGAATTACAAATTAATGAAATAAAGAAAAAAGAACGAAAAAGTATTTATTTCACAAGTGGTCACACAAATAAAAAGTGTAAAAAAATACTGACGATGTCAAATGTTTGACTGCACCGACCGACCCATGTATGCGGAAGCTTAAATCCAAATACGGTCCTATTGTTGCTGTATTAAATGTTATATTCCGTAAAGATTGCGCTAGGGCATCCCCCACATCCTTCCTTAGAGGAAAAAAAACCTACATGAGTTAGTAACTACAAAACTATAATTATAATATGACATATGATTTAAACAATGCTCTGTATAAGGAAGACTGCCAGTTGCCGTCAAAATCAAAACTACTGCTTCCTTATGCACTTTAAATTTAGGTAGATAGGTATATTGTTACTTATGGAGGTAAAATGCTTATCCAGCGACTCTCTGACGTCAAGAGTTAATTTATTTTTATTTGCTATTTAATTATAATCCCTATTTATTTACCTTTTAGGTGCACTAATGGCCTGATTGTTAGCCGAATGAAAAAGAATAGAAATGTCAATTAACGTGATTGACATAAGCTTTAACATAATTTATCGTATGACAACATAATTCCTATTTAACTATTCGAGTATCCTTTGTTATACTGCTTGGCTACTGCCACATTATTTTGAATCCCTATTTCCTTTAGACCTAAATATTTATTAAGGTATTCGAAGACAGTAACTGAGATTTATAGCCTAAGGAATTAGTTATTCAGAACAATACTGGTCTACAATGCTATTTAAGAGAATTGGTATTCTAAAAGGGTCGCAGTTCTAGTGACTACTCACAGTGGAAACAAATATTAGGGACCGTCTGTCAGGTTATCATAGCATACTTGTATCACGGATGCATCATGAGGATAGATATCATCAGCCTTTAACTGCTGGGCAAAGGCCTCTTCTCACAATGACACGGATAAAGAATGACCATTAATCATTATACTTGCCATGGTGAGGTGATCACGGAGGGATGATACTAAGATCGTAATATTCATGATATTAAGTTAAAATGGAGGATTAGAATAAAGTTGTGCTAAATAAAAGAAGATGTTAGGAATAGCGAATTTATATGTATACAGAAGTGTAAGTACTGTCACTATTCTAATTCCGCTTGCAATCGCAGTGAGCTATTATTGTAATCGACATCTGTTTGCCGATGGCATCCTACGAAAATTCACTGATTCTAATGAAGTCAGTAACTGTACTAGTTTTGTTTCCTCGAAAGAGAAGTTAAAGGTCAATTTTTGTTTGGGTTATGACGACAAACTCGCCGCTATTACCTAACCATTGCATCTCCTCTAAGCCGGTATCTACGGTATATACCAAATTACAGACGATGAAAACATCATAAAGGCGCATTTATGAAATGCGACATCCACACAGTTGGTCTGGATGAGGATAAGTCATGTGAGTGTTTGTAAAATACTTACGATACAGGAGAAATCCCTAGTGTAAGCACAGACTCTTTTAAAGAAAGACTCCGTGCGATCATTGAGTATTAGAGTATCTCAACAAAAATCTGCGACTGATAGGAATACTCGTTAGGCATGTATTTATAATAACTATCGTTAGACATACTAAATTACGGTATAGTACTGGGTACGCGCCCGCTGCTCATGAAGAACCCCTCTGTGGTTCGAAACTAGTAGAGCTATTCTCAGTATATTCACGTGAGTAAGCCGCGATTTTAGTTAAACCAGTTAGGCAATTCATAAATAGCCTACCTAAGTAAATTCAAACATATTAAAATCATACATATTCATTCTATTGAAATTTCTAAATACAAATACCTATTTTCAAAACCAGAATTTCTGTTCGGTTCCAACTTCATTTACAAAATGGAAGACCAAGTATTAATTTCAGTTGGAAGTAATTAAAACATAATCAAGTTTGGTTGGATTTGGTACCGTATTTCATTCGGTATTGTACTCTTAATTTCCGTTTTATCGATTATTCCGTTCGCTAAGTTTCGAGTTTGCGGGAGTCTATTCTGTGATGTTATCTTGGTCTGTTTTAGTCAGTATTGATTGGTTCTTTTTACAATAAGACATTTTCTGACATCAATTTAGTGCTCAATATTTTACTAAACGGAATTGGAACATGTTCAAAAAGTGCCAGTTGATCAAGTGGACTTTTAAACAAAATTATCGAATGTAAAGAGTTTTAAGTAATTCAAGCAATGAATTATTAAGCTTAGCGTTCTTAAGTAACCACGACCTATTCATCACTGTCTCATCGCAAAAATAGTCCAATTTTTCTCAAAACCCGCAACAAAATGCCAACAAAAATAATTCCATACATTCAAATGAAACCCATTTTTCTTCACATTCGGTCGATGTAGGTAACTATTCTCAGCATATATTATTATAGGCATCGATTGCTGAATTCTGACCTGAAGAAAAAGCCTGTTTTACGTTTAGCAAACGTGGCACAAAGCTAGCGTTCTCAGTACACAGTACCCTTCGGCCCTTTGACGAATAAAGCAGTAGGGAGATCAATGGATATTATTCATTGTAAAAGACGTCCAGTTTTCGTTACCATAAATTATACGAAGCTGAAAAGCCTTACATTAATGCATTTTGGAGCTTTGAACACGGTTTTCTTTTAAGTATTGTTGAAGCGGATTTTTTGGACGGTGTTCTGGGCGAGTGATTTCGTTTTTGGTCTTCAGTTTCTTTGTGAAATCGAATTCGTTGATTAGATTTTGCGAATTAAGAATATTTGAATTTGAAATATTAACGATCTATGACATACATAATATCACGCCTTTTATTCTCGAAGGGGTAGGCAGAGGTGCACATTATGCCACTGTACAATGTAACACCCACTTTTCACTATTTATGTTATGGGTCCCATGTAATAGGGGGTTAGCCTATTGCCATATACCGGGCACGATTCCAGACTCTGTGCTACTACTTTTTTTTTTTAACTTAGTAATACTTTGCCTGACCCGGTAATCGAACCCAAGACCCCTAGCCCGGCAGTTGCACTTGCGT